TAGAATGACACACCAACAGATAAGAGACATATACTGCTACATTTGGAACTCTAGAATTCAGCATTATTTCAAATTACTGGAGAAAAGTTTAGCTGATTAAGATTAGTAGAAGGCCAATGCCTATTGGAAACATCTTGCCAGAAGACCCAGGTTCTATATGCATAAATAAGATACAGTCCAGGAGTGGAGAACAGAAAATTGCACCATATAACTCCCACCAAACCACCTTTCCCTGCATGGGTCTGGTATGAAGGGAGGGGGAAATACTGATAAGATTCACCTGTAAGTAATTGTGAACGAGATTCCTTGCAATCTGTCCTGCTGAGTACAAAACAAGACCACTGAGAATCAGGTTGTGTGAGCTTATCACAGGCAAAGTCCGAAGTGGACTGTGTACTCTGGCCCCAGCATCTGGTTTACCCATGCCTGACCTGACTGTGGACTGAACTGCACAATCACCACGTGAGACATTTCCTGTGAGTCCTGTGAGCTACTGCAGCAATTTGCAGAACCCAGAGGTTGGAAGGAGATGGAGCAGACTATCATTTTGCAAGAGTTGGACTACTGGGACTTTTTCAATATCCAACTTCTTTGGATATGTTTGAAATTAATTTTTCTAAAAGAAATTATGGTCACATTTACTCTGCTGCAGGATAGACCTGCCTCCAGAACATACCTGTTCAGACAGGAACTACATTTCCTAGTCTCCATTGCAATTGGCAGGGCCATGTGACAAATTCCAGTGGTTTTACCACCGGCAATGAGGTCCAGAAATGAATCAGGTGTTTCTCTGTGATGCAGAGCATTCCCAAGGTCTAGCAACTAGTGGAACCACAGGATGGAAAGAACCATTTCTCTTTATCACTGCATATAGAAGGCATCCCACTGCCTTATTGCGCATCAGTAAGAAGCAAATTTCCCTTGTGCTGTAACACTAGAATTTGGGGGGTTGTTGTAAAAGTTAGCATTACTAATGCATGTACTTCCTTAAGTAAGATGAATTCAAAAGTCAAGCTAGAAAAATCCCCTCTTCTCTGCCTAGAGTTTAGAAAAAATCAAACAAGCAGGATTGCAAATCTTTTTAGGAGGCAGGTTCATCTTTCTCATGTGGAATGGCTGGTGGGCTTGAACCACTGACCTATAGTCAGCAGCCCAGTGAGGAGCCTACAGAAATAAATTAATGAGTAGTGAATCATGGTCTCCTCACCAAAGAGCAGCTGGTTGCACACTGATGAGCAGAAATTGGTCAGTGAACACTAAGATGGTCTATTCTAGCTGCTTTGGTTGATGTCTCTCATTTTAGGATGAGACCCTGAGACCTTACCCAACTCCTCTGGCTTCCCAGAGGCATGGGCAAGCTACATCTATAGGAGTCTTAATTCCTAATCAGTTGTGTGAAAGTCATGTCCATCCTGGGTGATCCAAGGCAGAGAGACCTGTGAGAAGCTGTTCTGGAGCTAGGGGTGTGATAACCTGAAGTTGTGACTGGAAGACAAGTGCCAACCTTGTTTTTTATCCACACACCAACCTGAAGGAGGATGTAGACATCCTCACTGTCAGGTGACCAGCATTAGTGTATACCGACTACAACACAAAGACAGGTGAGGACAAATGAGGCACTCTCCATGTCCCTCAGGGGAACGCAAAAGCCATCCCTCAGCTCATCCAAGTAATCTCAGACCCTAGACTGTGCATAATCACCAATGTACCACTCTGCACATATATATACATATACATATATATATGGCTCAGTGGTAAAACAATCACTTTTCAAGCAGGTAACTTCAGTTCAATTCCTGGCTAATATACCTCATGCAAAGCTGAAATTAATTAGGTTAACCAAACACTATGATACATATACAAGGGGGTACACCCCCCCAAAAAAAATCCAGAAAAAAGCTGGGCGGAGCTTTTGTAGTAGGCATTTTCCCCACCAGGGTAGCATCCAGCAACTTGCTCTGAGTTAGTGAACCCAGTGGCATTGCATGGGAATTTTCTCTCTGGTCACAGTGACTTTTTTTTTCTTCCGTAAAAGCAGTTTTGTTCAATCTCTTTTTTGTGATGGCTGATTTAAGAAGACAGTGTGTGGCCGTGAAATTTTGTTTCCCACTTGGGGAAAATACCGCAGATACTGTTGTAATGTTGAACACAGCTTGCACGGACAGCACTATGGGAAAAACTGAAGTGTATGAATGGTTTTCTCGTTACCAAAAAGGTGAAATGTTGCTTGATGACAAACCTCATTCTAGATGTGAGTCAAATTCCTGAATGGATGAAAATGTCATTTGTAGTGCATTTGGAGCTTATTCCACCAGGTCAGACTGTTAATCAAGCTTTCTCTGAAAAGTAGCTAACAATGCGTGACAAAAAAAGGCCTGATTTGTGGCAGATGACCACAGATTTGTCACCATGACAGTGCACCTGTTCACACAGCCATTTCAGTGCACAAGTTCTTGGTTAAAAAAACAGCACTTCTCTCTTGCCCCGTGCACCTTACTTACCAGACCTTGCTCTTTCTTTGCGACTTCTTTTTGTTTCCACAAATGAGAAAGGACATGAAAGGAAAGCAATTTAACTACATAGAAGAGATGAAGAAAAAAATGAGGGAGATGTTGTCAGCCATCCAAACAGATGAGTGTGAAAAATGTTTCCAAGAATGGAAAATATCAATACATAGCTTTGAAAAAAAATATGTTTTTTGGGGGGTACCCCCCTTGTAGATAAGATTTAAGTGCTCTTTGAACAATTAACAAGTCACAAAATATGCCTGAGACCCCATTATATTTCCTGCCAGACTTTTCTTTTGCAGAAGTTTTTCAGCTCTATATCTTGAGCTGGTTCCAGTCAGACCCAGGAGCATGCCCCAAGGAAGTGGTCCTGGCCTCCAACTGATTCTGGAATATTCATATTCATATCAAGGAACCAAAATTTGTGCTACAAACTACATTTGTGCTACATGGACTCATGTCAGAAGCAGGGAGTTAGTTCACTGGTCACTTCTGAAACTGTAACTTTGCCTCTCCCATGAATAATGGATAGCATCTCCCCAAGGTCCTGCAGATGGGTACTTCCTTTTTCTTCAGACTTAAAAACAGACCAACCCCTTTGTTTGGAGAGACTGATTTGAAAGTGATCAATTGCCCTGTCTCCTTAGTTGATAAAAACTTTGCTACTCTTGTCTATCTGCTTCTGAGTTATTCTTTTCCTGATGCCAGGTGGCAGACCCATTGAGTTCTATAAAACTGACATGATGAGTCTGGGGAGGCTTGTGTGTTGGCATGTTTCAGCTGTGCTTCCAATTAAGATGGACCAGGAGGAAAGGCCTGGTGATCTACCACTGACTGTCCATTGAAAACATAACTCTGACCAGCACAACACTGATCAGCAATTAATCACAGAGATGGTACAAGACTGGGCAGAGTGTACCGGTCTGTTGTGCATGGGGTTGTAATGAGTTAGGGGCCAATTGTGGCTAATAGTAACTTGATGGACTAATGGGATTTGCTTTAAAATTACCAAGCAAAGGGCTGAGGTAGGGCAAGGTGAAATAAATAGAGTATGGATGAACCAAAATTGGCCAAATATTGTACTTATTGAAACTGGATGAGGGATAAACAGGGGTCACTTTATTTTCTGTGTGTATTTGAAAATTTATAAGTTTAAGAAATGTTTTAAATGGACGGGGAAACAGGAGACAACTAAATATACTTCTCCTCCCATTCTTGTTATGTTCAGGATACCATGGAGACACAAGAGAGTTGCTTACCACAGATAGATTGCTTTTTCTCTGTTTTCATTAATATTTACAATATGTCATTAATTTCAAGACTGATCACTTAATAGTTTTAAAATTAATTTAACAAATAAAAGGGAAAGCCATTTTGTCTTTTTCATTACTCCTTGAAGCCCAGAAGACCTCTCCTAGTCCTGACATGGACACATAAATAAATGCATACACTAAGAAGAACATACATAAAAATCAACAGAAACAAACCTGCCAGTTTTTTAATAGAACAACAATGATTCCTCTTTGCACCTCCCATGCTGACTTTTCCTCTTCAGATCCCAAAATCCAAACGTACTGCAGTTGAGTTATTCCAACTCATAGTAACCCTATAGGGCAGGATAAAACTGCCCCTGTGGGTTTCCAAGACTGTACCTTTTTACAGGAGTCTCCTGTGGAGTGACTGGTGGTTTTGAACTTCTGATGTTTCAGTTAGCAGCCCAACCTCTAACCATTATGCCACCAAGGTGCTCTTCCTCCTCAGAAGAGCAGCACAGAAATTTCAGAAACCACCCAAGTGCATTCCTCATTCTCCAATTAAATATTTCTGTTTTATCCTCACAAACATTTGCAGTTTCCAATACATACAAATACCATTTCTTGTTTGATTATGCATTATTCATTTGGTGGTTTTTGTTATGTGTAATTGAGTGACAGTGATTATCTTCTTCAAGTTGTGCTAGCATTTTACTATCCTTTTCCAAATTACTCCAACTCCAATACCATTAACTCAATGTTCCCTAAGCATACCTCCTATTCTTAGTTACCACTAACAATATTTGATTTCTATATATGTGCTTACTTTATGTAGGTGAGATTGTACAGTATGTCTTTTTGCCACTGACTTATTTTACTCAGCAAAACTTTTCTAAGGTTTACTCCAATTGCAGCATACATACACATATATTTTAATGTCTAGGACAAAGCTTGTGTTTACATCCTAAAGTGTATTTGCTTGTGGCATTTGCTTTTGGGAGAGCAAGTAAAACAAAGAGGATGACATCTAGACTTCTAAGAAATATATTTGAGGCATATTTGCAAAAGGGAATTTATCATACATGCAATGGATTGTTTTAGTAGTCTGTTGGATTCATTTTTATCTTCAAGGACTTCCCCCAAAGAACTCAGCTTCGCTTTTCCTTTGCCTCTTTGTGACTCATACTTCTTCAGTAATAGCTCTTTGTAGACTACATTCTGCAGACACTGTGTGACTTACCACAAGGGACAGAGGCCTTTTCCAGGAGACCACTCCAATGAGACCAGACAGCAGCACCTAGAAGGGCAAAAGTTAAAGAATTAAGATGCATCAGGAATTTTTAATAAGCAATCTAAACAAAACTCATTTTTTTAACCCAAGGAAGGCCAACAAAATGCAGCACAAATTATGAGCATAGGTACTATATATAGTACAGTGAATTATGTAATATGACTCTTCCAGCCATGGTCTTTGTAACTTCCACCAAACGTCTTTTTTTCTGATGAATCTGGGTAAGAAAAGTTGGAGGAAGACACTGATAGAATTATATGATTCCATTGTGAGTGATTGTTCCAAAAGTTGACTCCAACTCCAGGCCATCCTATAACACTGGGTAGAACTGCCCCAGTGAGTTTCCAAGACTGTAGCTCTTTATGGGAGTAGAAAGTCTCATCTTTCTCCCTCCTTCAGCCCTGCAGTTAGCAGCCCAATGTGTAATCACTACACCACCTGGGATCATCTTAGCAAGGTTTAATTCTGATTGTAAAAACTTGGAACTGGTTGGCATTGGTTACTTTTACCATCCTGCTGGGTATAAAAGGAGCTACCTGAGAAGCAAGGAGGGGAGAATTCCCTACCATGAAAAGAAAAGAGCTAGGAGTAGATTGTATCCTTTGGACCCCAAGACAGTGGGGCTGTCAGGGTAAAACCAAAAGCCAGAGCACAAGACGTACGTAGCAGGGGCTTCGTATTTCACAGAGTGAGCAAAGCTAAGTGCCTTCAGGCCAGAGTTTGTCAGCCATGTATGATACCCCCAGGAAGTTGGTTTGCTGACTCCTGGAGACAGAGGGGAGAACCCTCAGGTTAAGGTGTTCTGTGCCCTTTGGGTATTTATTAGTAGTGTTAAAAGCTTTGTAACATTGTCTGAGCAGGGCAGAGGCCAAGGAGCTGAGAAGCTGTGACTGAGAAGTCAATGGCCAGAGAGGCCAGTCAGTGGGCATAATAGAATTTACTGGAAGGCCTGTGCCCTGAGCATTTCTGATCCTGAATTTCAGCACATTAACTTATCTAATAAACCCTAAAATCATGAATACAATCTGTGTGTTCTGTGTGGCCCTTGCAATGAACCTAGTTAAGAAGTAGAGAATGCTGTGGGAGGGATGGATGCTGTCAAAATTGGTAATGAAAGTTGGAGGGTGGAATCGTGTCTACACTCAGCCTTATAGGAATTAGCCTTGGGCTCCCACTGATGGCAACTTTTCCCCCCTTGTGAAGTCATAAGAGGTTTCACGTTGTTCCCCACATGTTGTTACAGTATGTTTATAATTTCCATTCCAATGCTCCTGGCCACTAAAAGGTGCACCCAGTCATTTACTTAGCCTTGAATTATGCTGGTCCAGAAAGTCTGAGTTTTCTGAAAGCTGCTTTCTCCACTTTGGTCTTGTAAGTTATTTGGCAATACTACTTCAATATCTGACAATGTTTTGATGCTATCCATATTATCCACTAGCTAATTCCTCAAAAGGAGACAGACCTTCTTTGGTCTGTTCTTAGTTTCAAAGCTCTGATAAAGGCTGTTTGGTGACCCTGCTGGCATTTGAAATACCAGTTGCATAGCTTTCAGCATCACAGCAACACAAAAGCCCCACAGTACGACAAACTGCCAGATTTAAGTGATGGGAAGGCCCTCAAAAGATGGATTAACACAGTGGCTGTAACAATGGGCTCAAACATAAGAACATAAGAACAATTGTGACTATGGTACAGGACGGGGGTGTGGTGTGGTGTTTTGTTCTGTTGTCCTGTTGTTCTGTTGTCCACAGGGTTGCTATTAGTTGGAACAGTCGATGGCACCCAATAATAACTTCAATATCACACACACACACACCACAAAATGTGGACCCTAGGTCTGTCTTTACCAGTGACTCTTGATGGGCTTAAATCTCCAACTTTTTGGTTAGCAACTGAGCTCATTATCCATTTGCATCACATCACAGCAAGGATTTAAAGCATCCTTTTGAAAAAAAGCAAAACTCTTCTCACTCTAATGTTAACCAGCTCTTTGCCCCTCTGCTCTGGGTGCTGCGGACCTGTCAGATCCATCCAGACCCACAGGATCAATGGTTGGCTGGCCCTCAACTGCATATTGCTCATCCTCTCACCACGCAAGTTTGTGACCCCTGTTCATCTGTCATTGATGCGACTCCCTAAGTTTGTACAGACCAACCCTTTCCCAGGTTATCTTGCCCTATCTGGCCTTTCTCTTTCAGCAGTCTCCTCGTTCCTGGCTCTCCTCTATTAGCTGTATTACATGAATATTCATAAGTTTTCTTTTTCTTAGAAGAAATCACCTTCAGCCTTTTGTTGACTTTTTCCTAGGCTGCCTCCCAAGTTCATACTCCTGCTATTAGGGCTTGGCTGGCTGTAACCCAGATCAATTCTTAGGCATTCCCAGTCTCCTTGGGTGTAGGAAGATCAATAAAACTATGGAAACACATTCACTAACCCCCCAACCACTGTAACCCAACGTTGACCTTTCAAAGACTGAAAGGCTGTAAGTCCAGTCATCACTCTGCCAGTTGATGACTTACCAGTCTTTCCGTTTGAAGCATCTCATTTATAGACTTTTGGGGACAGTTCTCCCTCGCCCTTTACTCACTTGTTTTCATGCTCCCTAGGCATTTTCCACCCTCTAATCCTTTTTTCACCCGTTTCTCAAGATCCCCTCTTCAGCCTTTTAGATAAAAGGCTCCATTGTTCCATTGTAGTTCCAGTTCTGATTGGGGCTTCTCTAACACCCACGTAATAGCTGTTACCCTCAGTGAGTTCCAGTCCAGCTGTTCCCTTACAACTGAGTCTCATTTTTACCAGGCACTGCTTTGGTGTCCTCTACAGCTTAGCACTGCCCCCACACTCCCATCTCATAAGGATGAGGTTCTGATTTTCCAACATACCCTACTAAATGATTTTTCCACCACTCTCCTGGCACCCAGGCTACTCTGGGCACGTTGAGTCAAATGAACTGCAATCAAATCACATGCGACAAGCAGGTTCCATACTTTCTAGACTGTCTCTATCCACACTCACCTCCTAGATAAGCACCTTTTTGAGAAATTCTATTACCCTAGTCGTTCTGGCTTCATGGCTAGGCTCCTACTTCTTTCTCGTCCCTTAGGCTTTAACTCTGGCATTGTTAGGTAGCCAGAACAGGGACCGGGGTGTCTACTGGGCATGCTACAAATTCAGGCTCCCAGCCAGGATGGGGTTGTACACCTACGTGGGTGGTACACCTGGGTGGGCCCCAATCTAGGGCAGGTGGGCTTAATTCAGCTAATGGGGTCAACCAGCACTGGCTACCATGCCTCCTGGCGGAAGGCCCTAGAAAAGGCAGGACTTTCCAGACCACGTCCTCTTTTTCCAGCTGCTCCTCCGTGGTCCTGCGGCTGGTCTCTCTCTCTGGCTTGTGTTCAGTTACCATGACGCCTGAAACAGCGTCTATCCTTTATAAAAAACCCACTTGGATCACAAACTAGGCTTTGGCGTGAATTCTTTCTCATTCGAAGTCAAGGACCCAGGTTTTTCTCACCGGAGGAATCTAAGAGCATCTCTCTGATAAACTAATTCCAAAAAGTGTCCTCCGTTTTACAGCACACCAACATCAGTCTCAATCAGACCAGACCTAAATAAAGGTTGTGAATGATCACCTTCTAAAATATTCAATTAATGGTATATAGAGTCTCTTACTTTTCATTTTTACCAGTGGAAATTTTACCCATTCTGATACATAGTTCAATATCAGCATTCATAGAAAGGCTTAGGAATTCAAGAATAAAAGGGCTCCCCTTAAAATCACAAGCTACTACCTGACCTCTGAAAGTATGTTTAAGCAATGAACAACAGGAGAGAGGGGAAATATGGTCACCAGGTAATAAGCATGGCAAGATCTCTTTCACAAACAGAAGCCACTCTGTACACTCCCCTTCCCCTGTTCAAAGTGACCTTTTTCTTCCCCTAGTTCCATCCACTAAGCCAAATCACTTGCCATGCTGGCCTGTGGGGCTCCTGAATGGATAGAAAACCATTTGGGCAGCTTAGTGCTTAGTTGTACTATGATTGTTGAACTGTTAGTAGGCAGACAATCATAGTCTTGATACATCAATGCCCTATATTCTGTATTAAGATTTTTTTTTTTCTGGAAAACCTGTGACTGATATTCTTAGTGTATATTATTGTAAATTTCCCTGACAACCAACTCTCATTGTTTGTATAAATAGCATCCAGCCATGAAAGGGTATATTGTGCCTACATTGGCACAAGTGCCTTTCTCAACCATTCTTTAAAAAATTAGTACTAAGGGCTAATCAAAGACAATATTAACAAAAAATCTTTATGCCCAGGAGAATGATTGACAAGACTCTACCATGAATTAACGAGATTTTGAAAGGGAGCCAAATGCAGATTAAAAAAAAAAAAATCCAGGAATGGGTTTTGGGCTTGCACTAAATTCTAGGTTCAATTTAAGAACAATTAGTTCTTAAAACATGGCCCTGCTCGATACTCACTCTCAGGAAGGGGACACAGAAGATATGGGTGCTATAGCAAAGTGTGGTGAAGAAATTAGATGGTGCCTGACTATCAGAATAATGCCTGAGGTCTTAAAAGCTTGCTTCCAAATAAGCAGCCATCTAAATGTGATGTCAACAGAGACCACATGGAAGAAGGACACCAACAACAGTGACCAAAGTGTTGTAAATCATATAATCTGAAGCCAAAGGAGGGAATAGTGAGAATCTAGTTTTCAGAAGGCTATAGATGACAGTGGGAGCCCAAGATACATTTATGAGAACTACATAGGAAATAAGCCTCTGGTGATTTCCCTCTATCCATAATAGAGAGATGGGAAGAAATTAGTTGCCAAATAGAGTGCACTGGAGAGATTAATATAGAAGATCTAAATAATAAGCCTTGCCAAGTGAGTCTCCCTATGATGCACATTAGGACTGATCTGGTTTTCAACATTTTCTGTATTTTTGTTTGTTCCTATTGGTGTTTATCAGATGTGTTTTGTCATTGGGGGT